AGAAATTCCAAGCCCAATTCGTACACGCAATTCCGAACCACCCAAATTAAGTGCACATGAATCAAAATATGAAGACTTGATAAAATTTCTCTTTTAAATAAATGACGTCTCCGTCCATTTCAGAACGTAGACCAAACAAGGACGAGGCAAATTGTTCAATCTGTTTTTCGTAAAATGGATGCCAACGCTTTTAAACAACTTTATGAGTCTATAATTGAAGATTAGCGGGGCCCACTTCCTCCCTTCCATGCAAAATCAGCGAAAGTCATATCATTATGTGATGCATTATTGAGCATTTTTATATGTGTTTCTGTGTTAGATATTTTGTGTTGCCAAGAAAACAGGCAATTTGCATATTATATATGGGCGGTGCCAGAGAAGATTACCACCCTCCCTTTCTTTTTTGGACTGTCATGAGTTGCTTGTGGTACTATTGAATGTGAAAATTTCTCAACTATAAATTATTCATGGACCTGTTTTGAGTCAATATAAACAATAGGGAAAATGTATTGCATCAAGTTGATATTGGAAACCAAGTTGGCCCGGGCATTACTTTCAGAATATCCTGTCGCTATACATAGCATATATAATTTCAGGACGTCAGCCGTCAGACATGCCTTCTAGGAAATGGGTGCCGAGAAGAGGGCGCCACAAGTTCAGAGCATCACAACAATTTTTTTTAAAAAGTGAAGCAGACGAATTTATTTTTAAAAATTATCACGAAACATGCTACCATAAACCAAAAATGTATAATTTTATAAGATGTTTAAAAATGTTATTGATATGCAGCAGCGGGAGCCTTATAACGTGGGCCCGCTGTTCAATAATAACGAGTCAATATGCTGTGCCACGTAGATCGCGTTCCTGATTGGACCATACTTTCTCCTCGTTGATTTTGGCCTCGAAAATTTCTCCATTATTTTTTTCCCCCCCAATCCTAAGACGTGGTCGATGCTCGATCGAACAAATTTTGATCGAATAGAAAGAGAGAAAAATGTTGAATCTGTCAACCAAACCACAAAAAGAAAGGGTGCAGAAGCATAACTTTACTCCAAGACGGTCGAGATTTGATGTTTATCCTTATCAAATACAGAGGCATTGTCGCCATCGCGTGACGCAAGGGAAACGATGCAAATGGGATTGAAAATACGAAGAAATTAAATCATGATTTTTAAAAATAATTTTATATTGTATGAAATAAATATACAGAGAAGTTTACTTGATTTGTTAAAAAAAATGTATTTTTTAAAAATATTTTTATAGTTTTCCAAACATCCCATTGGTACTCAGTTGATTTCCTGTTTTTAGCTTCTTTAAAAAAAAAAAAGACATGGGTTTACGTCTTGCATTATCATCTACTTCCCCCAAACTATCTAATTTAGCCCCCTTTTTTTTTGTTTTTTTTTCCTCTTTCGATTCCTTCCGTTTTTAGGGCTTCCCAAACTTCCAAGCAAACTGCCGCCCGAGAGAAGAAAAAATATTCCGAGTAAATTCAAGGGGACCAAACATGCAGCTGTAAATAATGCCTCTATAAAAAAGAAACTAAGTGTCTGTTTGGTTCGATGCATTGCATTAGCATTCCCTGTAATCCTGATGTAATAGCCTCTTTCAAGCGTTTGGTTGGCACATTTAAGTGGTAAAAAGGATTACAAGATGCATCATGATTGCTTCACATGAGGTAATAGGGATTACATCAATAATAGTAAAGAACGGGGATTACAATATGTTGTAATCCAAAAAAGACAGTGTTTGCCCTTGCCTTCTAAATCATCTTTATTGACCACTACCAACCCTCCTCCACCAGTGGCCTTCCCTATGTTGAGGACACCCCTTCGTCAAGTGAACAACTTCATCTTCCCTATTCACTTCATCACTGCGAGGATGAAAATGAAAAATGAACCAGTGCTGGCAAAAAGTAAAAACAAAAATATGTAAACAAAGATACAAGCAATGAAAATGTGACTAGAATAATCTTCACTGGAGATTATGAAAATGAGGCAGAGGAGGAAATCCTCGTTGCCAAGGATCATGGGCTATGACGGAAGGAGAAGAGAGGGATGGAGGTAGGGTGGGAACAAAAGGCACTGGCATAAAAGAGCATTAGGTGTGATTGTGATGAAGGTCGGTGATGAGAATCTAGATGTTTGATGGTGAATGTAGATCTAATCTTGTGCAAGGAGTGTTGGCAGTGAGAAGGGTTGGTGAGACTTTGATCATCTAACAATGAAGCTAATGGGAGAAGGAGGGATGACACACTTGGACATGAAAGAAGTTAGGGGTGAGCATTTTTTTTGGGAAGGGGGATGTTTTCTGTCTCTAACTCATGGGGAGTGGTGATTCTACTCGTGTGACGCACCTGGAATAGAAAGAACATGTGGGGTAAGGAATGATCGTTCTGGAGGAGGAAGGATGAAGGTCAATGAAGGCCAACACTGATGGGTTAGTATTGTGTTAGTGGACAAGAAAGACGAAGGAAACAGTAAATCAAAGAAAAATTTAATTTGTGTAAAGACTTTTTTGTAATTTTGATTTTATTTGTATTTAATTAAATATAAATAATAAATTTAATTTTACCATTCTTAATATTGTACCAAACACCTTTATTCCCAATCATTCCATTCCATTACATGCCTATTGATCCCATGAACCAATCGGGCCATAAGAAAAACATTCATGAGCTAAACGGGCATAATAATATTAAACGACGCAATAATGATTAATGCACCACTAAAGGAATGATTAGAATAATTTTGATAATAAAACAGAGTTTTTTTTTTGGGGGGGGTTTTGGTGGGATAATGAGAACACAGCTCATAATCGTCACCGGAAAGGGAAATGATTAATAATCCATGAACCTCTCAGGATTCCGCCTTCCAAGAATATTCTGTGCACATCGCTCGCAAGATCTGAAGTCTGAACGGAAAACAAACAGTTTTGGAGCTTGGTGCATGTTGCTTGGGATGTTTTGTGGCCCCTTAGCTTTGTCCGACTCTGACCGTCTTAGGAACTGTTTAAAATAATAATAAAAAAATACTCATAGACACTTTTTATATAAATTAAAATAAAATTTATTTTACATATTTATTTTGTATTTTATAGATTATAATTAAAAAGTTAATTATAAGTCATTTTAAATGGTTTTTCATGGCCTTCATTTTCAAGTTCATGCGTGTGAGTACCTCCTTGTTTCAGATTCCTTCGCACCAAATCGATAAATAATTAAATTAATGCATTTTTTAATTTCAAAATGGATAAGTAGATAAACATTGCATGCCTGTTCTTGTAAATTTCAGGCACTATTCACTCCCTAATATAATTTGAGTAAATAAAAAAGTATGTCAACTTAGTTATTTATAATAAATATGTATTTTTTAAAATATTCTTATTAATTATATGTATTAGTTAGAGTTATAATTTAATAGAATCTTTAATATGTGTGACTATTATGATGACTACCTTAAAAAATACATAAATATGATAGATAAGCTAAATTAAAATATTATATTCAAGATCAATTTAAATATTAAAATAATTCTTACATTTTAAAAAAGAGGTAATATTAAATTTAAAAGATGTGACGTGTATGTATGCAGTTAGTGTTAGTGTTAACAGCGCTAGCCCACTAAACTACACATCTGGGTCAAAGATTTTTAGGGCCTGTTTGGGTATCCCAAAACCGTGGTTTCAGAAGCACTTTTCCGCAAAACGAGATAATCTCCTCCACATATTTACTTCGTAATCCGTAAAAGCACTTCTGAAACCATGGTTTGGTTTCTATCCAAACACACCCTTAATGATTGTTATCAAATAGGAGATCGTAAATTTCCTTGGCAAATGTTTAGCCACCCCTACCTTACGCCGCCCGGTTAAATAATCGTGCTAAAACTGTCAACATCCGACAAGTGGACAATAGAAAAGTTCATTTGAAATTTCGTAAATAAATAATACTCCTCCTGTCCTTATTATAAGACCCAATTTGACTTTTTATTTAGTCCTAATTATAAGACCCAATCCATTTTGTCTCTTATATTTATGCATTTTTTTTCAAGATAATCCTTCTAATAATGATAGTTTTAGCCAATATACTTAATTAGCAAGGATATTTTAGGAATGACAACACTTATTTATTATAAATAACCAACTTAACTTACTTCCTTAATCTCCTCAAATAAGTCAATTGGGTCTTATAATTAGGACCGGAGGAGTATTATATTTTGGACATCTTGTCCTTTTTTTTTTTTGGGCGCATGAGGCGTTTATTACTATTACTATCCGAATATAACTAAAATAACATGAAATATTAAAAAATAAACTACACCAATTATATGTTATTAATTTTTAATAACACAACTTACTATAAATTATAAATTTTACATGTATCATCATTATTTTGCTTTTTTTATTAGGGGGTTTCAACTTCTCCCCACCCCCCCATCGCATTCCTACAACTTGAAGTAAACTTCAAATGGTTTATGCTAATTTAACTTAATTTTAGAAGATTTAATAAAAAACAACCGTCTTTTTCCCCACTCCAGGGTTCAGCTCTAGAATTCGCGCGACACTTCTACGATTTTAGGCACAAAATATCCTTGCAATTTTTCATCTCCTAAATTATAGTCATTAAATTATAATTCATCGGGGTCGATCTGTTCGGACGGCACTTCCACGTGTCAGAATCTTAATTACCGAAAGTTTGAAACTTGCTCGACCTTTAACACTGGACATGGTATAAAACCCCTCGTCCACTTCTTTCCTTACCCGATCCCAATGCGCGCTCGTGAGCATCTTACTCCATTTGCTCTGGCAGTTGCTTCGAGCTTTCCTTTCGTGGAAGGAGCATTCCTTCTTGGAATGCACTTCTCTTGTTGAGTTCTTTGCTGGCTTTCTCGTGTCTCCCTGTTCCTGAATCATACTAGCTCGCTTTTGTTTCTTCTTTGAATTCCCGGAGCTACTTCCAAAGACTTTGTCCCAGCGGCGGGTACCGGTGAGTTGTGGAGGCCGATATCAGAGTACTCTTACCTTTTACTTGATTGAGTTCTGTCTCTGTGTGCTCTGAAGATTCATTTTATCATCAACGTGAAAGATCTCGTGGAGAGATCTTCAATTTTGAGCATCTAGTTGGTTCACTGTTTCGTTACGGTGAAATTAGTGCGGGTTCTGATTTTCATGGTTTGGAATGTTAAATTGTGTGGCGAGAATCTGGATTCTGTGATCCGGGGGTCTGCTGATTTGAAAGTTTTCACCTCGGAAATTGTTACTCGTCAGCTCTGTTCTTTATTCGCGAGGACCAATTTCGAGGCATTAGTGTTCGGTGGATGGTACTTATTAGACTTTTTTCTAATCTATTTTCAGTGACAGACTTGCTGCTTTTATTCGGAAAGTTCCCTGGCTCACCAAGATTTTCTCATTTCCAGGAATCCCTGTCTTCGATTTTCTGTAGCCTGCACTTCATATATATATAAATATATATATTTATATATCTTCTTGTTTGCTATTCTATTTCTTATCACGTGGATTGAGCTTGTTTGAGATCTCTTGCAGTCTTGCTTCATGGTTTCCGATCATTTGCCCCTCTATCTCCACCAACTCATCATTTCCCTTTTGTCCGGGTTTGTTGAGACTTTAGTCACCGATTCCACATAAGACAAAATTAGCTGATCCTTTCTGTGAAAGCACCTTACCATGGTCCATCGTCGCAGGAACGAATCGCTCGTTTGCCGCTTTTTTTTTTTTTGGCCCACGTTAGTTTTCTTTTTGTATTTTCATTAAAATTCTTGAAACTTTCAAATACTGGTTTTGCAAGTGGTTGCCGATAAGAATTCTGATTTCTTTCTGATGCGACGGTCCTCAATAATAATTAGCCAATTCCAGAAGAAAGAACAAAACCTTCTCCCGTCCCTGAAAGAGATTTTTTTTCCCCCCTGGGGCGGGGGTGGCTTTTACTGAAGTTGAAATTATAGACTATTGAATCGAACGAAGAAACTTTTTTCTCGCACTCCGGTTTATATTACCAATAACCATAGAGGACGTCTTTAGTATTCGTTCAATTTTCATGCAAAAAAAAAAATTATTCGTTCAATTTGAGAAAGTTATGCTGCGAATTCCATCGATACAGCCCTCGCCGTTGATTCTTCCTTCCCAGAAGCCACATCGCAATCCCGCTAACGTGCGCCTAAGTTTTCGCATGCGTCATAACCCCCTAGGTTAATATTACTCGACTCCCCAAACTTTACTGTTTTAGACTATACTGCACGTCGCTATCCCACTAACGTGCGCCTAAATTTAAATTTTACTGTTTTCACTCCGGGTGGCTACTCTTTTTCTTCTCTTTTTTTCCCCCTTTGTTCCCTGTCCATTTTTTTTGGCTTCCTTCTTCGAGCGTTTGTTTGTGTTCCGTGTTCTGAGTCTAAAATTTTAGATTCATATTAAATATTTTTTTGCCCATGGTTGTCCTCCTTGATATTAAATATTTCATATTCTGGGGACTTGTTTTTCTCTTAACATATTTCTTATATATGGTAGCTGTGTGGCGTTTGTGATGATACAGTACTCAGGTGTTCAAAGATGACTGTCACGCCAAAGATCTCCGTTAACGATGGGAAACTGGTTGTCCATGGGAAGACCATACTCACTGGAGTACCGGATAACATTATTCTGACCCCAGGATCTGCAGTGGGCCTTGTTGCTGGCGCATTTCTAGGTGCCACAGCTTCCCACAGCAAAAGTCTCCATGTCTTCCCCATGGGTATCTTAGAGTAAGTTCTTTCCAACATCTAAACTTCGCAATTGAAAACTCAAAATTTGTATCATATACAATACTTTCTATGGATGCCTGTGTCACTTGCTCATGTCGTAAAAGAAAACTTGACTGCTGCAAATTTGAAGTTTTTGCTTTTGACAAGGGCAGATATGTTGCTGCAGCTGAATCATAAAGTTCGTGGCATGTTAATCTAACTTTATGTTTTTTCAATCACTTCCTTTGTTATATTGAACTTCGACCATCTTTTTATAGTTGGACTATTTGACTTGCCCATTGCTATTTGTTAAACCTGCATTCTAAATCATTCCTCGTTGATCCGGAAAACAGGGGGCTTCGTTTCATGTGTTGTTTCCGGTTCAAGTTATGGTGGATGACTCAGAGGATGGGAATATGTGGGAGGGATATCCCTTTGGAGACCCAATTCATGTTGATAGAGAGCAAAAATGACGAAGCTGCTGATCAGGAGAATTCTCCAACCATATACACTGTCTTGCTTCCTCTCCTAGAAGGCCCGTTCCGTGCTGTTCTACAAGGGAATGACAAAAATGAGATAGAGATTTGCCTTGAGAGTGGTGAGTACCTCTAACCCACGAAAAATACATTTAGTCTACATTAAACTCTGCCATGCCTTCATAATTAAGTGCTATGTCCAATTTCGTCAGCCAAAATTTGAAGGAGTCTTACTTTCTGAAATTTTGGGGTGGAGCTGTCGTTAAAGCGAATACATGTGGACCGTGGAGAAACCTCTCGATGACTGTCGCTCATTTGAATCAAACTCATGAAGATTATAGCTTTGGAGAATAAGTAAATAGGATGAATCGGAAAAACCCAACCGACCTTTCTTTTTGTTTTTGGGGTTTGGTTTTGCAGGAGACAATGCTGTTGAAACGAGTCAAGGTCTTCACCTGGTCTACATGCATGCTGGGACAAACCCCTTTGAAGTTATTAACCAAGCTGTCAAGTGAGGCGTCTCTTCCATGCTTTTGTCTGTGTGTGTGTGTGTGTTTGGTCTCTGATCTGGCACCTCTGTTTCCTCATCACACTCCTAAGACGGAAAGCATGAGTCACGTCTCCTAGTTGGCACAAGCTAGTTGTCTTTTCAGCTGCTAAACATTTGAATCTATATATTGATGGTTACTGACCCCTTTTTGTTTGTCATTCAGGGCTCTAGAAAAACACATGAAAACATTCCTTCACCGCGAGAAGAAAAGAGTAAGAACTTCCCCCTTGCTGTATTTCTATAGAATCCATGAAATTTTCCGAAGTTACCATCTAAATGATCTTGTAACTATGTTCTTGTTGATCTCGTATAGTTGCCATCTTTTCTCGACTGGTTTGGCTGGTGCACATGGGATGCTTTCTATACTGATGTCACGGCAGAGGGTGTTGAGGAAGGCCTGAAAAGGTGATTAGTGAGAGAATTTGTAGAGTATGCTAGTTTTGTTCTTGACCAATGAGGAAGAGATGGATTCCTAAGATGATGTCTAATGATCAAGTAGACACTGAAACTTGGTTTAATAATGGTTGCAGCTTGTCAGAGGGGGGCACGCCACCACGCTTCCTTATCATAGATGATGGCTGGCAACAAATTGAAAGTAAACCAAAGGATGCTGACTGTGTCGTTCAAGAAGGAGCACAGTAAGATCTCTATATGTAATCAGCTACAGTTTGACATGCTTAATTCAAGGACACCATCATCAATAAGAATTTAAATACTCAAAGACTACTATTATTATTTAATTGCAACAGGTATTTAAAGCATTTAAATATCTGATTGGAGTTATTTGTTTGTTGTTTTTTTGTCAAATACAATCTTTGCAGGTTTGCCACTAGGTTGACCAGCATAAAAGAAAACGCTAAATTTCAGAAGAATGGACAGAGTAATGAACAGAATTCGGGCCTGAAGCACGTAGTAGATGAAGCGAAGCAACGCCACAGTGTGAAGTATGGTCTTATATCCTTAAATTGATTTGAGTATTTTATGGCGGTGCATTTTCCTATTTCACAAGTTGTCCTGCGCATCTGGAAATGTATGTGAAAAGCATTGACTGATAAGCGGCTGCTGTAACCAAGTTTCTTATTACTCTCCTGATGCACAGATATGTATATGTATGGCATGCTCTGGCTGGTTACTGGGGAGGAGTGAAGCCAGCAGCCAGTGGCATGGAACATTATGACACGGCCTTAGCATACCCAGTACAGTCTCCGGGTGTACTAGGAAACCAACCAGACATTGTCATGGACAGCTTGGCTGTACATGGCTTGGGTCTAGTACATCCCAAGAAGGTTTATAACTTCTACAATGAGCTACATGCTTACTTAGCTTCATGTGGAGTAGATGGGGTCAAAGTTGATGTTCAAAACATTATTGAAACCCTTGGGGCTGGACATGGAGGCAGGGTCTCACTCACACGCAGCTATCATCAGGCCCTTGAGGCCTCCGTCGCTCGTAACTTTCCTGATAATGGATGTATTGCGTGTATGTGTCACAATACTGACGGGCTATATAGTGCTAAGCAGACTGCTGTCGTGAGAGCGTCTGATGACTATTACCCCCGCGATCCTGCTTCCCACACTATCCATATATCATCCGTAGCATACAACACACTATTCCTTGGAGAATTCATGCAGCCTGACTGGGATATGTTCCATGTAAGAAGGGAATTTTTCTATATTTACAGTTTCCGCAATTGCCTTCTCTATCTAATATCTTTTAGTTGCTTGACTTGTCAATTTCTCAAATATTCAAATTCACAAAAATTCGGCATTAGCAGGCTTACTAAAGCTAGTAAATAATGATTCGGTACCAAGCATATGTCACCTTTAAGATTTCGCTATGTTACCCTTAATGACTTCAATTCTATTCATATTAACGAAAGAATCTTTACCATTTCAGAGTTTACACCCAGCGGCAGAGTACCATGCTGCAGCTCGTGCAATTGGTGGATGTGCAATTTATGTCAGGTGTAGTAATACCAATTCAGAATTTTGAAAAGAGTTATTAAAAAAAGGAGCACTTTGTTAATGGTTGTTGTTTTTATGTTGCTTTCATAGTGATAAGCCAGGGAACCACAATTTTGAACTTCTCAAGAAGCTGGTATTGCCTGATGGGTCGGTTCTTCGTGCTCAGCTACCTGGCAGGCCCACTCGTGATTCTCTCTTTACTGATCCAGCTAGAGATGGGACTAGGTCTGTTTATTTCTATCTCTAAAAATTAGGAAGTTATGTGTAGACATAACTGAAGGCTCATGCACCTACATTGCAATTTTCTAGCTTGCTCAAAATATGGAACTTGAACAAATGCTCCGGAGTGGTTGGGATATTTAACTGTCAAGGTGCTGGGTGGTGCAAGATAGAGAAGAAGACCCGGATCCATAATGCATCTCCTGGCACACTCACAGGTTCTGTTCGTGCTTCTGATGTTGATCTCATCACTCAAGTAGCTGGCGGCGATTGGGATGGCGACGCTATTGTTTATTCCTACAAATCAGGTATCATTAATAATTGGCTATGAGATGGCATTGCGGAATGCGAATATTTTGAATACCGGGGAGCTGGCTTCTTATTTTCAAGAAACCAAGACTGATTATTTAAATACTTGTTATGGAGTCTGGTGAAAGTTAGAAATGATGGAACTTACTTCTCAATATGCTTTTATTGAACCTCGTATTTTAAACATGATCAAAGTTAACCATCTCATATATTTCAGGTGAGGTGACTAGGCTACCAAAAGATGCTTCAGTGCCAGTGACATTGCAAGTTTTGGAGTATGAACTATTCCATTTCTGTCCACTGAAGGTAAGGCTCCAAAATTGGAGATATAAATCTGACTGGTCTTTGGTATTGTGCCCTGCAAGTTCATTCAAACTGATGAAACTGCCATGTTTCACAGAAAATTGCCCCAAGCATTTCGTTTGCAGCAATAGGGCTATTGGACATGTTCAACACTGGAGGAGCCGTTGAGCAGTTTGAAATCCACAAAGCTGGTAACAAAGAACAACTATTTGATGGTGAGGTTCAATCTGAGCTGACCACTTCTCTCAGCTCAAACCGCTCAGCAACGGCAACCATTGCCCTCAAAGTGAGAGGAAGTGGCAGATTCGGAGCGTACTCGTCCCAGCGCCCATTGAAGTGTGCTGTAGGTGACGCCGAAACCCATTTCGACTATGACTCAACCAGTGGGCTGGTCACCTTCACCATCCCAATTCCTTCTGGGGAAATGTACAAATGGCCCATAGAAATCCAAGTTTGAGTAATTTACGTTTAGCGTTTAGAGTGTGTTGTTTAGGAGAGCAGGTTGGTTTGTTACTTTGTTCAAGTGTTTAGTGATTACTATTAGCTGGAGAATAATGGGTAGCTGCTTTTTTTTTTTTTAACACCTATGCAAAAGTGCTAGAGATGTGGCGTCGTCATGTTTCTGTCGAATAAAAGCTCTCGTCTTTACTAATCTTACTTCTTTTTGTTTTGCCGTTTCTTGCGTTTCGATTTGTTACCTGATAATTTTCTTTTGGATGCAAAGAGGTATGATAATTTAAAAGGAATGGGACTTTTTTGGGGCAATACAAAGTTTGATCTTTTGGATCATTTGATAACCGGTTACGGGTATATGTCGTCTTTTGTGTTGGGCGGAAGGTCTCCACTCTGCACAAAATAATCAGGCCTTTAAAGAAATCTGCCCCCCCAAAAAAAAAGGGACTCTTCAGTTATGCAACATAATCTTAATAATGTTCTTCAATATCCTAATCACAGAAAGCAAATTAAATTAAGCATGCGGCTTTTAATTTAAGATCATGTTTTTCTTGCTAAGGTAAGTTTCCTGCCCATCATTGATTCTTTTCTGGCTCGTCGCAGGGCAGATTGGTACGTAATCTTTAACCTAACGTGTGATCAAATTTTGTATTGATTTTTTTTTCTTTTTAAATGTAGGACATACATGAAGCCTACTTTTGGTTGACCAATTATTTTAGATGGTTTTCATGTGGTATTTGAGATATGCATCACATTTCTTTCTATCTGAAGTACCTGCATAAATGTACAGGTTTCTTACAGATACTGTGGATCTCTGATTGAGGTAAAACACAGCAGGACAAGCAAGCTGGCTCTCAAATTTATCAATATGTGTTAATATCTTAATCAAACCCCATCTAAAGAGATCAACTTGGACCTTTCTTTCCTTCAAGTAATTGCCTAAGCTTCAAAATTAATGACGATAAGTTAGTTATGTTTTAAGGCCATTGACCCCTCCCTCCATACCTCCAAAGCATTTCAAATTTCCATCACCATATTCATCCAAATCTATCCAACACCCTACAGCATATTCATGGGGTATTGTTATACTCCCTCTAGTTATAAATATAAGACCCATTTTGTAGTATAAATAAGTCTTATATTTAGGACCGGAGGGATTATATACTCTTTAGGTAATTAATATAAGACCTAATTAACTAATTTGAATAGATCAAAGATATCAATTAAATTAATTAATATAATTTTTTTTAACATCATAAGTATTTTTTTTAATTCTCTTTTTTCCTCTCCTACTTGATTATTGTTAGGAAAATATCAAAAGCATTAATTTGAGAAAAAAATTGATAACATATAAAATAAGTCTCGCATATAAGATTAATATTAACTCCTTATAGTTAGATTCTACATTAATAACGGCAAGAAGAGTATTGTATGGTCACGTGGCTTCACTGTGTTCTTGACACGTGGATCAGAATCCTTCTTGCCCATACGAGAGTCAAATTCATAGATATTTTTTTATCCGATTATTTGTTCTAGTCCGGCCACTTCCCATCCCTTGAAATGATTATATTCCTTCTATCTTAATATAGGACCCAATTGTTGAGTTGGTTTTGGTCATAAATATAAGACCATTTCTCATATTTATCAATTTTCTCTAAATTATCCCTATGGATACTCCCTCAACCATAATCAAGTAGAAGAGAAAGATGGGTATTAAGAAAGATGATTATGGTATTTTAGGAAAAATATGTCACATTTCTTATAAGTAACTAATTTACCTAACTTCCTTAATCTAATCAAATTAGTTAAATGGGTTTTATATTAAGGACCGGATGAGTAATAATTAATTGGGTTTTTCAATCATTAACGTGCATACTATACACACATATTCTCTTCGGTACTATTCCGTGGATAGATAGAAAGAGAGATGAAATTTGAAGGTGCATCTAACATTTCATGGTGGCATGCACTAATAAAGTAACGAAGGTTTGGAAAACTTGTAGGCAAATAAAAAGTTAATGCTTAGTTTAATTTCTGTCCCAAACTGGAATGTCTTGCACTCTATTGTCATCCCGATCGATCCTCCAAACTTTTGAGTTTTATTAATTTTCTAAGAATTTAAGGAAAAGCATGAATGAAACTCCAATTTATTACATGCTACCCGATAATGTGTATATATGGCTGAAATGATCTATAGCCACTCAAGGAATGACAGGTGTCCGTGTTGGATATTTTAACTGTTCACGTTAGAAACAGTTTGATGTAACTGAAAAAGCTGTCTTTCAAATCAAATGATATTGTTGGTGAATATTCTTGCTTTATTTGATAATGAGGACAAAACAGCAAAGTGCCGAGAATTGGATAGAACTGTAACGTTATAAGAAGTCAATTCATGAAATATATACTCCTCCGATCTTTAATATAAGACCCATTTAACTAATTTGATTAGATTAAGAAAGTTAGGTAAGTTAGTTAATTATAAAAATGTGACACGTTTTTCCTAAAATACTATAATCATCTTTCTTAATATCCTCTCTCCCTCTTCTACTTGATTATAGTTGAGGAAATATTTATAGGGGTAATTTAGAGAAAATTGATAAATATGAGAAATGAGTCTTATATTTAGGACCAAAACTAACTTAACAATTGGGTCCTATATTAAGGACCGGAGGAGTATCTTAATTTCTTTCAAATGATGAAGGATTTGAAACATTGAAATAATAGATTAATTAGCATATATATGTAGTCTTAATGTTAAATAGAATTTTTATATACAATGATATTCCATTTCACATATCTGTACCAAGTTTTTCTCTAGTTCAGATTAATAATCAGCAAACCACAAACATGCATGCAATATATCTGAATCAAGAATATCAGATAACCAAATGAAAGAGATTTAACTAACTGTGATGGCCAAGAAAGGTTAATATCCACTGGATCATAACAATCCAGGTAACATAATAAAATATGTCATTTTTTTTTTGGTGACACAAAATATGCCATTTGATAACCAAAGGGATAGGGATATATGTCATTTGTATGTTTAAGTGGAGTTTTTCTTTTATTAGCGCAGAGGTAAGTATTTTCCTACAGGAGATAATAGTATTCAAATTATTTTTAGGCATTAAATATAAACACCTTTTTTCAAATTGTTTTAAGCTACATATATATGGCACACATATTGAACATACATGTAGCTAAGTGGATACAGAAGATGACAGATTCGTGGACGTTACTAGTGGATATGGTGTGGAACAGAAGTCATAGGGGTGACCTGAGAGATCCTTTCGTCTCAACTTGTTATACCCTCTCTGATCATACCGTAATACCAATTTATTCAGACGAACACCAAATCAACTAACTTCTTCCCTTTTCTCCCTTGCTCTATAAATACTCATCCCACTTAACATTCTCTTCCCACTTCCTTTATACGATCAATCTTCTTATCTATCCTTTATTATTGCCTATTACCCCTAGCTACAACATTATTCGAAGACCACCAGTACCTACGTACCTATGACAATGGCCCGCCAAAACCATGTCCTTTTTTCGATATTCTTAATGTTGTTCATCATTATTATTCCTTCTGTTCCTTGTTATGGCACATCCCAAGAGGACCCACTAAAAATATATGGTTCTGATGATGACTCGCCTTTCAACAACTTCGATGATGGTGGGACATTCCACAACTTGATACAGCAAAACACACAAGTGCTGAGCTTAAACAGGTTTGTTAAGTTGGCTGTCACGTCTCCTTCAGTTTCCAAGTTTAATGTCAACGATTTTGGAGCTAAAGGGGATGGTAAAAGCGATGACACAGAGGTACATACCCTTATCTAAAGAACCGACCATTCTCATGTTACCAAATTAACAATACGTGAGAGTTTGATGATTCAGCAATAAAAATGACACTATTTTCTGTAATGGGTGTGTGTTTATTTTCACTTCAGGCTTTCAATAAGGCTTGGCAAGCTGCATGTTCTTCTGGGAGAGCCATAATTCTTGTGGTTCCTTCCAATTATAATTATCTTCTCAAGCCTGTCAGATTCTCAGGTCCCTGTAATTCTAGCATTACCATCCAGGTCAGTTACATGCAGAAACTAGATTTTATATACTTATAGTGTATCATCAGTTTTATATATATCTCCAACACATAATTATACTGATTTGAAAATTGAAATTTTCATCAGATTTCTGGGACACTTGCAGCATCAGAGAACTCATCGGATTACGCCCAAGACCCACAACACTGGCTTTTGTTCGAGAGTGTTCAGAACCTAACAGTTCAAGGTGGTGGAACCATCAATGGAAATGGGGAGACGTGGTGGCAAAACTCCTGCAAAAAGAACCCGAGTCTTGTACGTACATATATTTCAGAACCCTATAATGTTGATCAGTTCATTTATCTCTTTCTATATACGCACTACTCGTATTTTCCTTCAAACATCTACTAAATATATTTTCCTTCGATGTTTCTTTATGACTTTACAGCCTTGCGAGAGCGCCCCCACGGTACGTAAGCGTATATCTAAACTTTGACACAGATATTGCAAGGTCATAAAATTTAAAAGAGTTCATTTGGATTAATAGTTATATCGACTGTGTTTTGCAGGCTGTGACTTTCTATGATTGTGAGAATCTGATAGTAGAAAACTTGGAGATTAAAAATGCACAACAAATCCACGTGAACATTCAAGAATCCACGAACGTTAAGGTTTCTGGTGTTACAGTGAGTGCACCAGAGGATAGCCCCAACACTGATGGAATTCACATCACCAATACCAGATACATCAAAATCTCAAACTCGCTTATAGCCACAGGTGTGTGTGTATACACTGATTATCTATATATAAAGTAATTAATTAAATCTTCACACTTTGAAATATATATAATCCTTTCACTCTTTATCTTGCAGGAGATGATTGTTTGTCAATAGAGAGTGGAACCCAAAATTTACTAGCTACTGGCATAAGCTGCGGACCCGGCCATGGTATCAGGTAAATGCAATTAATTAATTTCCAATATCTAGTAATTAAATCGAAAATTTTAAATTAAATATTAAAATTGTCAATAATTCCTTTGTTTATCAATGATATATAATACAGTATTGGAAGCTTAGGGGAGACCGGAACGGTGGAACTTGTGTCTGGAATAACAGTGAATGGAGCTAAGCTTTCTGGAACTACAAATGGAGTTAGAATTAAGACTTGGCCAGTACGTAATTACTTTGAACTTTCCTGTGTGCAAAATTCGTAAAAATTATAACTGACAATCTTATTTTATCAGCATATACAGTTCATTATCTTCGCATCTAATTCTATTTGTTTGATTCAGGGAGGGGAAGGAAGTGCAAGCAACATCAAGTTTCAAAATATTACAATGGAAAATGTGACTAACCCCATAATAATAGACCAGAACTACTGTGACCAGGAGACTCCTTGCAAACAGGAGGTACTTATTTAATGAATCAATTAAGATCAATTAAAGGACTCGACCAATCATACATATAAATATACGTATATATGATTTTGTTTGGTTTGTGGGATGTGAATATGCAGAACTCAACCGTGAAAATCAGGAATGTGCTGTACGAGAACATAAAAGGAACGAGTGCTTCTGATGTTGCAGTGAGCTTGAACTGCAGCCAAAGCTTTCCGTGCCAGGGGATTGTGTTGCAGAACATAGACCTCCAAGATGAAGATGGACAAATTCCCAAAGCTTCATGTGAAAGTGCCATCTTGTCCTACGTTGGATCCGTTTCCCCACGTTGCCCATAGAACAAGTGCAAACAGATTTATTATCCCATCTGTACAGTGTTCTTGATACTGGTTTGATGTATTAGTTTGTAGACAGTCTTCGTAGGGAGTATTATATTACTTTCTAGAACATATATATGTGTGTGTCTATAGATCCGTTGTTTATAAATAACTTTTAATTCCTATTATGTGTTGGCCGTCCTGCACCCATTTCATTGTATATGTGTTGTGTGGGATTAATGATTTGGAAGGTCTACTCATTAGGGTTACGATTTGCATATATAAAGAGATGTTTCTTCTCGCTGTTTACCCAACACAAAATGGTAAGAGATATTGCAAGGACAGGGACTGGCTACCACAATACAACGTTAACATACTCAATCACACACATAAAAAATAGTAATTGACAAGAACCCAAGAACACTGACACAACGAATAGTTTGATGATGTTCCTTTTTAACAAGAAAACAGAAAGAGAATGAGCTGTCATATATGTTTAAATTTCTCAGAATTAGAGCACCAATAATAACCATTGATCTATTTGTGCTGTGTGTATTTTGTGGATACCCTAAAAACAAATATCGTTATATTATTGTAATGATTCACCATTTTCATCTTTATCCTCATGCAGCCATAAATTCTCATTGATTAACACTAGCCCGCCGTGAGTTTAAGACCATGTAGACCGATTCTAAAAAGACTGCCTCAAACTCGCCAACTTTCGTCCTTTTTAAAAAAATTTTTTTACATGTATATTTAAATTTTTATAGACCAAATTCTTCTTATTTTTATATTTTTTATATAATTATATAATTAAATTAGTCTCAAAAGTTAAAATATAAACATATAATTTATTGTTAATAGTTATTTTATTAGTATAAAAATGATAAAACAATAAAGAAAATGATAAATCAAGTTTAGAATCAAAGTCTTTAACAAAATACAAAGTTATATGTAAATTAAGTGAAAATGATAAAACTTTTTCTTATTAAAATAAAAATTAAAAAAAATGGGTTGGCGGGCTAACTTGTGGTGGGCTGTAGATTTGCTAGTGTAGGTTGAAAAGAATCGTATCAAAATGATTTATATTCTCTTTAATTCAATCCGCCACCTTATGACAGGTTGAGCTCAACTCTTATTACCAATTCTAATTAACACTATTTAATATATATCCTTCAATTGAATATCTTGACCTTCTCTCTGGATTCTAGATAAGTAGCTTCCCTTGTCATCAGGAGTCTTTATTTAATGAGCTTTAATTTATATTCTAGGGATAGTTTCGTTTTACTTGGGTGCCGAAGAAAATAAATGTTGAAAAGCATTATAAATTGTTCCTTTTCTGTGAATACTTTTTTTATAAACTTTCTGTGAACACTTGTGTTGATGGTTTTTACTTCTTTTCAAGTTTTTTTTTATTAATCAATGTTTTTTCTTTCAGACTTTAGAACCCAAAGGGTTTTTGCTTATTCAAATGAGTAGGGTTTTCAAGATTTAAATTTGTGTTCTCATGATTGAAGCTGCTTAACACTTCAACTAACAACTTGTTAATTACTTTTCTTCAATTTAAATACACTATAAATAAGTGATATTTTTCTATTTCCAGTTATAAGCTCTAAAATGGTATTTGCGGCACTAACTATTTTTCAAACTAATATAGTTTTTTTCGTTAGAAAAAAATTTATTTTGCTATATCCATCCAAGATAAAAAAAGGAAAGAAAGAAAAGCTTCATCGAGTTGAGAAAAATAAAACTGCATGCCTAGCTGTTTAATTTATTTCCTGCGAACATCAATTACAAATTCCTTACAAAAAAGTTCAGCAAGATCCTGGCAAAAAATAAATAAATAAATAAATGGTTACAAATTTCCCAACAAAAATTTAAAAATACATATTGAGTATTGACTCGTATATGACTCGAGTATCTTTAAAATTAAAAAATTAAAAAACTTGTTGTATGTTTTTTATTTATTAATATCGATGTTATATAAATTTTTAAAAAATAAAATATACTGTTCATAACTTATGAATAATATAACTTATTATAAAGTTCTAGATCCTTACCTAGGTTTAGATAGCGAAATGATATAAATATAAATTTTATCATGTTATCTCTCTCTCCAACTAGAGAAGGTATAATGGGTTGAGCCGGCAGGAAATCCAACAATCTTCCTCTCTCCTTTTCTTTCTTGTGAAAGGAATCATCACATTTATATTTTATTTATGGAGGATCACAATCCTAACAAAAATAAATCGGTAGTGATTTTTGTTCAAAAAGGATGAGATTGCACACGGCAGCCCAAGTTTTGAAGGAAAAAAAATCGGAGATTTTTGGTTTCCAGACGAGATTGTGCCGGCCTTTTATAGAAACATGCCTAGAGCCGTTAAAATACGGATACTATGTTCACTTGATCCGTGGAAGACTTGCTTTTCTTTATGTATAAGGGGTCGAAGGAATCTTTGTGCACCATCTTTTGTCAGGGTTGTGATTCTCCATAGATAAAATGGAAATGGTAACAGTCGGTAACAGGATCTTGTATGTCTTGAGTTCTTCCCGCCGATTATGGTAAGAAATTATGTGTCGCTGGTTCCCAATTTGATTTTATATTTTCTGTTAACTTCCCCCCCCTTCAGTATCCAAACCCTAGATCTGTTTATTCTTTTTCAAGAATCGGATCCGAATGTTTTGCAATTCCAAATCTGGTTTTCAAGGTAACAGGTAAGCAGGGTGTATGAGACAAATCTCGAATTTGATTTTAAAGGCTTGTCTGCATTTACCTTGGTTCAGTTCATAGGTGCTGAGAGCTGATGCGTTTCAACGCGAAACTGGAGAAGGTTGATAAGGGGAAGCCGAAGAATTCGCTGGCTCAGCTTCCTTTGTTTTATTGAATAGCAATTCGATCTACATGCTTCTTCCTTCATTTCGTTAATTGTTTTTCTTGCTAACGCACATGAATAGATCACTGCGCGTCTTTAGTTTCCTAGGAAGCAAAGGACGTAGCGGGTATCATTGGCTTTTGGATTGTGTTTCATTTCAGGTTCATACAACATTATGCTGCTCCTTGTGAGTTGCCTTGGCTTGCTTTCCGTGGTTAAGGGTGCACTTGAAATTTAGAGTTAAATTGCTTTGCTTGTAACTTTGCAGCAAACTCTGCAACTTCTTTCTTCCTGTTAACTTGTGATCGAATATAATATGTTTCATTGGTTAGGATCTGAAACGTTGGCTAATTGCACCTGGATGTTTAATTTAATAATGAAATTAGGTGTTGCTTGGCATGACTTCAGGCTAGCTTAGTGAAGTTTCCTCGAACTAATTAGGCCACTTTAGGTTGTTGGCTTTTGGCATAATGGTATACAATTGTCAGTTATGATTGTGAAGCACCCCTAGACAAATGTAGCGGAAATTAGGTTTGAAAAATTGCCCTCACTTCACACTCGGCAGTAGCAAGATCGATGCCTTATTACTGTATTGAGGTATTCATCTAAAACGAATTGGCCTCTTATGATAGAGGGCAGAACAGAGAGCCAACAGCTTAGGTTTTGACCATGTTTGGTTGGACGTGGAAGAAAGGAAACACAAAGAAAGATATAAAAATTAAAAATGATCCTTTTGGCCCTCGATAAATAGAGAGAGGAGGGAGTTTCTGGGAAGTACTTGGCTTTGATGGCTGCAATTTATTTTTGGTTATTGGATTGAAAACCCTGAAATACACGAAGCAGTTAAAGAAACATCAATACTAAAGGAGTAATGTGTTTTGTGGACCATAATTTGCATGTTGATGGTTAATTTGTGCTTGTAGTCAAACTTACACCTAGGTTGAGTTTGTCAGATTTGGTTGCCCCACCGCTGATTAAAGGCAAGGATGCTACAGACAAGAGACAAAAAAGAACGAGAATCCTATGAAGTTAAATAGCTGACTTAATGGCACATAATAGCAGTAGCCTTTAGGCTTATGAGTCGCATGCTGAAAAGTCTTACAAGTGTAGTTGATTCTTTCTTCTTATAGGCTAATTTTTTAGAATTGAGCTTCTTTTTTGGAGTTGTATATATAACAAAAGTGTTTTTGGAGCTACCCCTAGAGGTTTTTGACCAATAGAAGGCTGAGTAAGATGCCGTGGTAGGAAGCCATCAGGAGTGTTGGTTCTCAAAGGGTTGCATTGTTATGAATCTTGCATCAAGGAGTTTCATAAGTGTGGTATAAGTCAAGAGATTCTCCTCTTGCCGGTCGTTTGGGATTGGCCTTTTGCTTTAAATTTGTGTTCGTAATAGCTTTTCGTCTGTATTACATGGAAATGATAATTGGAGGAGTTATCAACGATAATGTCTTATCTTCATGTTCTTTACTGTGCACTCTTTCCTATTCTGTCTTCTTTCCTGGAAGTTGAAATTGGAATATTGAAGCCTAAAAAAAATAATTCAGTTTGAAATAGTTCCCTTGAGCGGTATTTTATGGCATCCATGAACAAGCTGTTACAATTTCACAAACCTTTTTTCGTGTTTGTGGGATGTTTGTCCTGGTCTTGAGCTCGTTCCTATGTCTAGTTTCTATCTTGAATATTTTTTGGGCATCCACCGCAATCAAACATACTACAATTATTCAGAGGGGTCTATTTACGTTCTTGGTCTTGAGCTTACGTTCCTATGTCTGGTTTCTATCTTGAACATTTTTTGGGCATCCGCCGCGATCAAACATACTACAATTATTCAGAGGGGTCTATTTTCGTGCGTTTTATATATTTGCTACTAATTTCCCACTAATAAATGATATATGTAAGAAAATTCCTTGCAATATTCGATCACATAATGTTTATTATTAAGATCGTATGCATTTGGAGTATGCATTTGTCATGTGTTTATTAAATACATTTCAATTAAATAATTTAGAGTTAATGTTTATCCAGCACTCTGAATATTTTTTTAGGTATATCCAATACCTTGAAATGTTTTGTAGTGCATTCAGCATCTCGAAATATTTTGTAAAAGCATCCAGCATTCTGAAGTATTTTTATGCTGATGTTGGATGTACTAAAAAGTATTTTTTAAGTGTTGGATGTACTAAAAATATTTCACGGTACTGGATTTGTCACAAAATACTTTGGAGTGTATCAAAGAATATTTTAGGACGTTGATATACCTGACTAAATATTTGGGGTGCTTAACCCAATAATTGGATGATAAAAACACTATTTTTTGCTGTTTAAATAAAGAAGCATATGGACCACTAAGTATAATTTAACTATGGGTATTTATTGGCCCCATATTATTTATTTATGTACACTGGGATGAGCAGTCCATTTAAGGTTTTTCCCCGGGCCACCGTCCAATTTGAATAAGCGCAGCTTGAAAAATGAAGTTGTCCATTTTTTTCCCGCAAAGTGGCCGCAGTTTTAGTCGGAGTTCCCTTTTACGAGTTCCTTTTGCTAAAGTGAGTGTAATTAGTGATTGCAACGGTAACATTCCAACGCCCAGTGGAGAACTTTGCAAAGTGACTTGTTGAGTTGTTAGTAACAGGAAAATTAAAATGCGGTCAGCCTCATTGAGCAGACATTTGTTTCAGATTTTATGGCACAAGTTATGCATAGGGCCCAACGTGATTTCCTCAGGATATTCCTCGTCGAAGTTTATCCATTTAAAACAACAAATGTAATAAAATTGCTATAAAAAAAAAAATTAATACACGTCCCCGATATATTTAATGCATATTTTCAGTATCCATCCTTTTAATATTTCAGAAAACACTAGTCATGATAATTGACTCCGCTTTCGCTTGAATCTAGATTGGTATGTATATTTTTCACACTATCACTTTGCCCTCTCTCTATATAGCTGTGAAGGCTGGAATGAAATTAAACAATAGCCGGAAAGGCTGGAGCGAATTGAGTCAATGACTGTCAACAGACAATAGTTTCTATGTAGTCCGTGAGTTTTTTCCCCCTCTTTGTTCATGTCAGAGTGGAAAATCATTACTGTCACTTGCATTTGTTGAAATGCAATCTCTTTTAAGGATGGAAAAGCTTGCTTAGTTACCAGAAAATAAAGGCTAGCTTGTAATAGAAGGGGGAAAAAAATAACAATTTTCTCCACTCCAAACATACCCCAGAGGGGGGGAAAAAAATGAAACAGAGTAAAACGGAAACTCCAGGAACATCAAGTAGCCGAGTCTGTCAAACTCAAACATGAATGTTTTGTGTTTTACAACTAACACAGTGCTACATTGCAGTTAAAAAGCTGTGTAAACTTCCCCTTACCCCCTTATATATATATATATTCAGAAACATTCATCAAGCTCTGTACTTACTAGCTTACAAATCAATGTTAGAATTCTGCATCTCACAGTCTTCACTTTTTTTCTTCTCCTGCCGCCGGTTCTGTCTTTGGTTCTGCCGGTGGCGGCGGCGGCGGCGGAGGCAGGCCTCCATCGATGCAACTTCTACACCCTCTTCTCAACCCAACCTTCAATATCGTTCTCTCCATTCCCTCCGAAGTGCCTTCCACCGCAGAGACGAGCCACTATCCCTGCAAGCACACCCACTATTGTGATCACTGCCAGAACCACCACAAGCGTCTCTATTGATCTGTGAGAATAACGATTCGCCTCTTCCCCTCTCGGTGGAGGCACCATTAATGGCTGCATTGAGCCCTCTGGCCTTGCTTCCATGGATGAACAAGACGAACGAACTCTTATACGAGAGTGATGAAAGCTCTGAACCTGAACAGAAAGGGCGTGAAAATGAGCTAGCTGGCTATCATTATTTAATGCTATCAAGTGGATGTGGCATTATAAATGTCATTGGTTTGCTTTTTGTTGTTGCTTAGGATCTCTTTGGTGTTTTATTTTCACAGATACTTGTTTTTGTTTTCGGCTTTTTTTTTAACTAACAGGTGAGGCTTTTGAGGTGCCAAAAAATATAGCTGAAGGCAAAAAGCTTCTGACCACCCATTAACTCATTATTAATAATTATATAAAGTAGAAACGGTACTCTTTATCTCGTTAGCTGTGGGTCTTGGGCTACATTGCAACTTCACACTTAAAAATAGTTGATTTCTCCTCCCAATTTTGTCCTTTCTCCATATTCACATGTTCATGTTATGTTCAGTCTCTGACCCTAAAGAATCAGGCGGTTTTTGTGACCTTTTTTTTTTTTTTTCCAAAATCCCATATAGTCATTTGATGAGTCAGTGTATTATTTCCTAATACCCATGATTTTGTTTGTTTTGCTGCTTCGAATTTCCCAAGAATTTGTCGCGGCTCATCCCTCTTGCTGCGTTCAGTGATACGGTTGGTATGTGTCTGCCTGAAATCAGAAAGCTGAGAGCTCTGCCTCTGGATTTGGCTGGCTCCTCGTCAACTTGGTAGGAACTTTAGATAGTTACAAAACAACCTGACTACTTACCGAAGACACGCTTCATAGCGACTCTTCAATAGCACGGACCATTATGTTCTGCTGCAAAAGTATTTGTGAATGGAACAATACAATACAGCTTGGGCATTAAAACTTCAAAACCAGGTTTACCAACAAGTCCATGCGTTTATTGATGTGCATATGAATGTTGATCTCCCATTGTCTTTGGCTTAGAAATCAGAAAATTTATAGCTAGTAAGCTCTTAAAAACAACTGAGTTCCTGGGAAAGTGTATTAGTTAGACATACGAGTGGGTTTCACTTGTCAAACAGGATATGATCTATTTTGGCAATCCGTTCCAGATTTCGGCGGAAAATTACTTTTACTGATGTTGAAGAGAAATCCAGGCCATGCGCCGTGTTTGGAATGAGAAAGTCAAAACCTTCTCTCAAATTTTGCAGTGGCCTATGTTTCTGTCAAATCTATTGGGCTAAAATCATTTCTTGGATCCATGGCCCATATAGCCTTAGGCCCAAACATAATTACTGGACCACTGGCCGTAGAGCTCGTTTCTGCTTGTGTTGGGCTTGAAAGTTCTTGCTTATTGATAATCTACACATGCTTGATGTTTTTCACTCAAAAACATTCAATTATAAATTTCTATAAACTTATAGCTTCTATTCGTTTTAATGTTATGAACACAAATAGTACTCCTCTGTCCTATTATAAGACTTAATTTTTTATTTGGTCCTAATTATAAGACCCAATCCATTTTCCTCTTATATTTATGTATTTTTTTCTAAGATAATCCTTCTAAAATGATAGTTTTAGCCAATATATTTAATTAGTAAAGATATTTTAGGAATAACAACACTTATTTATTATAAATAACCAACTTAACTTACTTCCTTAATCTCCTCAAATAAATAATTGGATCTTATAATTAGGACCGGAGGAGTATTATCTTTATAAATTATCATATTACTTTTTTGCCGTGTATGAATTATCATACTAGATTTCTGTGTGATCAAAGTTGTAACCTATAAAAATTTAAATAAAAAAAAAACCAGGGAAAAGAAGCTCGGGCCTTTATCACGGTTTACTGGATCCTTGACACCAAACAAAACCGCAACCCCCGAAAAACCCTAGGCTATGTCATGCTTCCTCATCCGGCCGCTTCCTCATATAAGAAAGGCAGGCCTCTCATTCGTTTAAGGCCTTACACTCTCCTTTGGCGGCAGTGACTTTCCCTTCGGGATTTAGGGTTGCTTATCGTTGTTGCTGACAATTTCAATTATGGCTGAGCGTGGCGGAGATCGTGGTGGTTTTGGACGTGGCTTTGGCGGCCGTGGACGCGGAGATCGTGGCCGAGGTGGACGACGCAGAGCTGGTGGTCGCCGCGAAGAGGAGGAGAAATGGTTCCGTTGACAAAACTCTTGGCCGTCTCGTCAAGGAGGGAAAGATCCGCCACCTCGAACAGATCTATCTTCATTCTCTCCCGATCAAGGAGCATCAAATTGTTGATACATTGGTTGGTCCCAGTCTGAAGGATGAAGTCATGAAGATTATGCCTGTGCAGAAACAGACCAGGGCCGGGCAGAGAACTCGATTCAAGGCGTTTGTTGTCGTTGGTGACGGAAATGGACACGTGGGCCTCGGTGTTAAGTGTAGCAAGGAGGTCGCCACTGCCATTCGTGGTGCCATTATATTGGCCAAGCTCTCGGTGATTCCTGTGAGAAGAGGTTACTGGGGTAACAAGATCGGGAAGCCCCACACTGTCCCGTGCAAGGTTACTGGTAAGTGTGGTTCAGTCACAGTGCGTATGGTTCCCGCTCCTCGGGGTGCTGGAATTGTTGCTGCTAGGGTGCCGAAGAAGGTATTGCAGTTCGCTGGTATTGAGGATGTCTTCACTTCTTCAAGAGGGTCGACTAAGACTCTTGGAAATTTTGTCAAGGTTCGTTCCAAATAATGTTTTTTATTTGCTTATGCAAATGTTTAAACCCATTTTTATATTAGTTTACCATGTATCCGGCGTTATATTCAATTATATAGGAGCTGTTCTTGTGTCGATGTGTGTGTGTGTGGTCTTGTCTTTGCAATAGTTTTTGACAAATTAGATTAGATATCAAGATTGAAATTGTTATCTTTGCCAAGTTTTGCATGAGTTAGACTTCATTGTTAAGTTCATGTACCGGGTTGAATCGAGATGTGTTTGAAACCACAACTTTTTGTTTCACGTTTGGTCTCAAGGCCAAGCGAAAGGATTGGGTTAACTAAATTAAATTGCTGTCGTGCTGTTCTTTTTTTCTTTTTGTCCCTAGGCATGCTTTGCTGGCATGAGAAAGTTAATGACTGTAGATATTCAAGCAATGTTGCAAACATGGTGATTAGAATCCACAGTTTCTGACCTGAATGCTATCTGTGCAAATGTTTTTTTTTTGGGGGGGGGGGGGGAATGAGAATCGGCAGATACTTGAGGCGCATTGCAAATTCG